CCCTTCCTGCTGCTGTCACATGGGCGCATCGCACGACGCTTTCATTCATGCTATCTCTAGCCCAAGACAAGATTTCGGTGAGATACGTTGATTGTTGACAGGTTTATTCTACTGGTTTTCAGCAAAGCCTTAGAAAGGGCCGAAGTTGGTCGTCGGACCCGCAGACAACTTTGCAGAGCTTGGAAGCTGCAGATCTTGCAGGCCTTTCCTGCTGCTGTCACATGGGCGCATCGCACGGAGGAAGCTTTCATTCATGCTATCTCTAAGCTGTGTTTATGGTTTGTTGCATTCCCAAGTTATCCGTTTGAGTCCGACTGGAGCCAAGTGAGGGGGTGGGGGGGACTGGGGGTGTGGGGAAAAGGGAGGGGTGGAGGGGTGGGGGGGTGGGGCGGGGTGGGGGGAGGGTGGAGGGTACTTGAGGTAACCCCCAAGACGCCTGGGCCGGAGGCCTCGGCGGACTGGGCTAGGCCCTGCTTTCAGTGATGCAAGGGCTGGTTCCTTTCTTCTTGTCCTTGAGTTTTATCCCGGTAAAGTCAGTCCGTTCCAGGCCGGTAGCGCCGCGAAGAAGCCGGATGAGTTTGTGATACTTGGCAATCCAAAGAGCCTCCGTTGTTGATGATTTCGATGACAGCAGAACACCTTTCACCTCCCATTGCAGGTCCATTGCCCCAAGCTCGGCTTTAATCAAGCGGGTATGTTGAGAGAGTGCCATGGGGCCACACGGGTCGGCGTGGGCCCTTAGCGAAGCTGATCGAACTTAGCTCCAAAGCTGCTTCGCTAATCCGCTGAAATGACTTTTCGTTCAAGTCTAGGCGATTGGCGTCAACCAGCAGCAAGCCTGCCCCAGGAAACGGATTGCAGCCTCGTTCGTCCTGGGGCTTTCCAAGAAGTGCCTGTGCTGAACTACGAGAAACATGCTTTACGGTGTCGACAGTGGAGCGACTGAAACATCCTGCATTGGGCAGCAGTTCCTGATCGGCTACAAGCTTTTGCTTCATTGATTTATCACAAGAAGAGTCCCAGGAATAGACCTCTTAGAAGTGTCGGTATGCATGAAAACCTCAGTCCTGCCAGGTCGGGCTCATACACCTGTGACGGGGTGGGCGTGGGTTTCAACTAGAGCCCCCCGTTGGCCAGGAAGGAGCACCTCGCAGACAAGATAGTTCAAGAGGCAGGGCTCAACTGCGTCGGAGTCCATCTGCCGCTGAAGGGTTCGGTGGACGATGTTTTTTTTTTTGCTTTGGAGGTTGTGAGCCTCTTGAAGAACAACGGGCGGGCTGGCTGCACGTAAAGTTGATGTTGGTCTGAACCTGTCGTTGATTGAAGACCCGGGTGCTGCGACTTGCATCATCGGGCGGTTCAAGGTTCAGGGATTGGAAGAAGGGCTCTACAAATGGGGGTTTCTAATGGAAGTCCCAAATAGGAAATCTGCAACAATCAGCTTGTAGGAGAAGAGGACTTTAACCTTGAAATTTCCGAGGCTGGCCGCGAGACCGGACCCTTCCCAAGGGAAGTTTTCGAGATCTTGCAGTTGGAAGTTCCCAATAGCCCTGAGGCCCAAGGAGCAACAACGAACTGAAATACAAAAAAACGCGCAAACAACACATCCCCGAAGCATTCGTCGCCACTTCCACTGGGAGGCCTGGTGTAACTGCAGGGCTGAAACTTGAGATGATCCTTGCCCGGTATGTCGGTACGTGGTGAACAGTATTTGGTATTTAGCAAAGCTTCGGCAACCAAGCTCAAGGAGTGCTGGCCAGTCGGATGCAGCCATGATGGACCAGGCAGGCGATGGACGATTCGAGCGCATTGTGAAGCCTTTTGATGCACTGCGTATTTCGAAACCCTCAACGCCCTAAAGGCCCTAAACTGGCCAATGTTTCGCTTTTTGTTCTGGCAGGTACTTGCCAAAGTGCGAGAGGCCCGCGAGGCCGAAAGTACAACCGGACGCGGCAAAGTGGAAGACAGTTTTTGGCGTCATTCTTCTGGCAGTCTTCCTGCGATGGAGGTCCAAAAAGATAGCGACAAGAAACTGCAAGATGCAGTGCGGGAGGCGCAAGCTCGTGAAGCACTTCGAAATCACGTGAGATGCACGCCCATAGAGACTGCTTGGCTGACAGTAGACAGCTGAACGGCATAGGTTCCATTTCCGACACTGCAGGCCACGGATGCCTGGGCAGAGACTTCTGCGGCGAGCATGTCGTCTCTGATGTCCAAGGCGGCACGGGCTGACAGTCTTGCATGGTTCGGTTCAGCGTCGACCGCATATGGATCGCTTCCAAGCCTGCGATGAGGAGTTCGGGAAGATGTCTCAGGGAGTGGCCTCGAACCTGGCGCAGCAGCTGTCCCAATCTCGGAAGTCTCGCCCTCAGGAGTTGAGTGGGAAGGGCTTCTTGAAGGGAACGGCATTCCCCAAGTCCAGGAAGCTGTGTGATGTGAGGGGCTCCCGGTCCAAGTCCATATGCTCGTCTTGCCTACTTCCGCAGTGAAGTTTGGCTTGCAACAACTGAAGCTTTTGCTTGGCCCCCCTGGCGGTCTCCTTTCCGACCCCAGGGCAGGCCTTCGGCCCCCTTGCTCGTATGCACCTGCTTCAATGCGGAGGGGCTGGGACAGGCAATGAGCAAGCTGAGACATGCACCCAACAGGAAGCAGGTATTCGGAAACGATGTGGCGCAAAAGCCACGAATTGAACACTGCCGGCAGACACGCCCGTTGTTGGGGAACTCCGTCGCGCTACTCCACCAAAGATTCGCCGTGGGTGTTTTCTGTACTGATTCAACGCTCTTCGTAGGGGAAGCGCAGATCAGACGGCATTGTTGCGAAATTAGGCTAGCTTTGTTGCTTGGTCATGTATGAAACCGTGGACAACACCTTATTTCAAGAAGATGTTTACTCCGCAGCAAAATGCAGCAGAGGTTCTGCGAGACGTTGGCAAGAGGCGTTCAGAAGTCGGGTGCGGCCGCAACCAAGCAGGCGAACTGCGCGAGTGTTCCTGCGGTCTTAACCTGAGTCTAGGGGAGCTGCCCAATTCGTAGAGAGAGGGAGAGCTTCTGAAGGGGAAACGAGAGAGGAAGCTCAGAGCCTCAGAGCTTCGGAGCGGCTTGGCTTTGCAGGCCTTGGAGTCCTTGCGGCCGCCCAAGCAACTTCAGGAGGCCGTGGGTGCCGCCCTTGGGGAGGCCGCTTGGGGCTTGGCGATCCGGTCGGACAAGTTGGGCCCATCAACTTAATTGGGCTCGGGTTGGTGACTTGGCGCTGTCTCGCGATTCGGGCGCATGGCAATGGCAACCACAGTGTGCGGGCGAGTTTCCGGGTTGCCGGGTCTGCTGCAGAGCACTGCCGTGCCAGGCTCTCCAGGAGTCTCTTGCACCAGTCTTCAAGGCGGGGCGAACTCGATGTCGGAGAGCCAGGTGAACTACGGCCCCTCTCTCTAGATTTGAGGCGGAAATCCAGTCGCACTTCGAGAACGAGCTCGGGCCCTTGATCGGCCACCGGGTACAAGACTCAGGGGTCCCAAAGAAGCCGATGAGCGGCCCTTCCCTCACACTGTCTTTCCCCGCAGCGCGACCTGAGGTCAGTGAGATGTTGACCGCTTTCCGGGACTCCATGACGGACTGCCTGGAGGCCTGCGTCCTGCGGGGGAAAATCGCAATGCGGAGACGTACAAAAACTTCCTGGCCAGTCCATCGCTGCGGAGCACGAACAGGCGGCCGAGCGACTCGGCAGTGCCCGGGCAGCAGTTGGAGTTGCAGAGTCTCGGGTTCTGCCTCTGTCACGTCTCCAGGAGACTTGGCCCCGCTCATTGCAGAGGAGCTGAGACAGGCAGGAACCTCAGCCTCCGGCTCTAGCAGGCCTTGAAATAGCACAAATCCATCCCGAATCAGATCCAGCAAGGATTTGGTAGTGGTCGTGTTGACTCGGGGTCGGGGCTTCATTGGCATGACTCCAGCCCGTGCATGCCAGAGGTCCGGCACTTGGTGCAGTCCTCGTCAGGCAGGACTTGCGTCAAGCTAGAGCGAATCTCCGCATGCGCATTGACTGGTGCCAGCAAAAGGGCTGCTCAATACTCGCTACTCGTACTGGCAGTAGCAATGAACAGCATGATGCACGTACCGCCACCAGTGTTGTCGTCGTCTGCGGCAGTGTTGCCGTCCAAGGCATGTCACTAGCCCCCTGTCTGTGAGTGCTGCGATGGCAGGCGGATCCAGTGCTATGCAGGAGGCTGCATGAGTTCGCTCATACAAAGCAGCCATTTCACAACTTTTCCGTTTTGCAACGGACGATGGCAGTTGCTGCAGACCAAGACTCGCTCGTGTCAGCGCCAGCATGAGAAGGCAGAGTTGGAGGAACTCATGCGAGCGGTGGAGACGGAGGTGCCTTTAGTCGTGTGCCATCTTGTGGGCAGCGTTCCTGCGTAATTAAATTAGTGGGGCTGTCTCGCCAGCACCAGTCAGACCCAGTTACCTGGTGGTAGCTTCAGCGGGCAGGTAATCCAGCCTTTGCACGCGCGAGTCAAGGAGCTGACAGCACAAGTTCAGGCAAGATGTCAGCCATGAATTGCTGCAGTAGATGCAGTGACGGTTCTTGACTTGTCAAGGTAGGCTTAGGTCTTGGAACCGGTCTCATCCCCGACAGCGAATCAGCCTGTCTTCAGACATGTCACAGTCCCATGTCTCCAGAGCGCAATTCTGAATGCGAGTTCCTGCTTCGCCAGCCATTTCCTGAAGGCTGTCCGAGTCTCATCGAGTCTCATGTCATGTGGTCCCCGGATTTGATCAGGCATTGCGCGAAGAAGCGGTGGAGCTCCAGCGGCGCAGTGCAGAGAGCCAAGGCACCCGGCCCGAAACTGCTGCGCCCTCAAAGCTTTTAGCTACTGCTTGTAGCGAAAGTCGACGTTAAGCACTCGCTCACTCACGCACTCACTATCTCCCTCGCTCGCTCGCTTGCTCGCTCACTCACACACACACACAC